GGAGCCTTCACAGTTTCGCTCTGGGGTTTTTTACTTGGCTTTACCGCTAAATTGTTTAGTTACTGTGAAAAACGCTAGCCACTTGTTTTTTAAAATGTTAAAAGTTTGATAGCAATAAAATGGTTATAAAAATAGTAGTACAATTAGAGTAATAATAATTTGGACAATTTGGATTAGGACAATATGAGATAATATAAACAAAGAGTTACAGACGGTCCGGGTACCTTTTCTGGGCAAAATAAGCCCGAAAAAGGACCCACGTTAACAGACGATTAACCCTTAAAAACAATAACCTGTTGCATATTCATACACCTCATACATGATGCATAAATTCCATTCAAACACAGGATTCTGTCTGGGCAGTGTCAGCTTCTTCCTCTGAATCCTGACAGTGCCTTCGAGGTGGGAAAAAGTTCATTTTTTCTGATAAGAGAGCAATAAATTCTTTTTTTCTGAAAGATTCAGGTGTCCTGTGGCTGCTATCTCGCTGCGAGTCCTTTCTTTAAAAAAGTATCCTACATATCATAGTTTCTATTTTAACAATTTTTTATAACCTAAAACTATATTTAACACACTACTCAAGAGAATTAATACAGCATTACTTTCTAACACAACACATACAACATTCATTTTAATATTTGTGAAAAGCCAATCATAAAATACGCATTTTTCACATTGTTTATGCATTTTAACAAACAAATTAATGTTCATTGGTTCTAAATTGCATAATCCTCTTCATTAACTACTGTTGTAATAAATGTTCCCTCTTCATTTCCTCACTTTTTATACTGATCTCGTACAAATTATTTAGTAATTTTGTTATCTTTTTCTCAGACATAAAGTCTCCAAGCTTTCAGGCCTTAATTTCCTCTATTTTCTGGTTACTGCAATATCCTTGAAGTGCGATAAATTTAAATTCCCACATGCCCAGCCTTCAAATTCTTTGAGTCTGTTCATTGAAGTTTGTCAGTGTTCATTTTAACAAACTTATTTGATTATTTCATTATCAAAATAATAATAAATGTCTGTGGAGAAGCTTTATTTTAGTGCTTTAAAAGTGGGTGCTGCTCATAATTATTTAAAATGACCAATTAAAAATTAGGAAAGTTGTATCATTTCCAACACATGCATGACTTCAAATTTTTGTCCAGGTGTAACTTCATATTTCTGCTCTGAAATGCTGTAAATGGAAAGGGCTGTGTGAGGATAACCCTCCAAATTTGAGAGTCTTAATTTCCTAATTGAAGGAGAACTGAATTGGAAATACATGGTTCCATTGCAGCCAGGGTAATTCCACTGACATAAAGCCTCAGATTTTCCTGATATAAAGCCTAAGGATTTTCCAGAAACATCAAAAATACAGGCTCTGCTTCCAAAATGAATTCTCAGTGCACAAGTGGTGAAGCACATACTGAAAGCCCTACTCATTCCTTATCCAGGGCATTTCCAAGGGGGATTGGGGACATGGAGGCAATCCATAATTTAATAATTCCCACATCAGTAATCCAAAATAAATTGGCGTTATAGCCAATTAACTCTGATTATACCGGGGATGAGCTGCCAGTGGAGCCCTTTGCCATGCCAGTGAAATATTTCTATGCAAAGTTTCTGGGATTTTTTTCCCTAAAAATCACAGGAGAGGCTACAGCACTGGATCTTCGTTTGCATCATTTCAGGCAGCAGCAACAAAGGGTCTGGATTTTACAGAAATGGACTGACCCCACTGAAATTTA